CTGGCCTCGCCGTTGGGCCGGTCGCTGGCCTTGTGGGACAGGCGCGAGGACATGGTGGCCGCCGTCACCACCGCCTTGAAGCTGCGCTTGCGCTTCTGCACGTTGAGCTCGGGGTGGAAGATGATGATGTAAACCTTGGGCATGTAGAGCATCCCCAGCGCCACCGACGCGCTCAGGTTCATGGAGATGGTGAGCGTGGTGGTTTGGATGTAGAGCTGCGGACAACAGAGAGCGGTTACGGGCCGGGCAGCGCCTCACACACAAAAAATATCCCCTGGAAAGGGATTTTAACCTGCCTGGGTGGGGCTGCAGCACCTCACACACACAAAATATCCCCTGGAAAGGGATTTTAACCTGCCTGGGTGGGGCTGCAGTGCTCCATAAATACCTGCTGGAAAGGGATTTTAACCAGTCTGGGTGTGTCACACACCACTGGTGGGACTGCAGCACCTCACACACATCAATATCCCCTGGAGAAAGGTTTGAACCTGCCCGGGTGTGTTACACACCAGGGCAGGGCCGCAGCACTCCAAACATAAATACCCGCTGTAAAGTCATTTTTCACCAGTCTGCATGTGTTACACATCAGGCCTGGCCAGGCTGCAGCAGTTCAAACATAAATACCCATTGTAAAGTAATTTTTAACCAGTTTGCACACATTTCACGCCACCTGGCCAGGCTGCAGCAGTTCACACACACACACCCCCATTTTACACCGATTTTTAGCCAGTTTGCAGTGCAGATGTGTGAGCTGGGACCTTGCCCTGCAGGCACTGTGATGTGATGTGATGTCCCACGGAATGCCCTGCCTGACCCACCAACACCTGATCCTCAGTGCTGGAGGCTTCCAGCAGCCTGGACACAGTCCCACAGCAAATTATGGCACAGCTTTTTAAATTTATTTTGAGTGCAGGTCAGACTTGGACTGAATAATTCTGATATAAACTAGGGTTTAGCTGAGCTGTAAGTTATAGAACAGAAGCTATAATAACACAGGTGACTTTTAGAAACACTGATGAAGGTGGGATTTTCTTGCTTTTACCGTAATTTAGTTCTCTACAATCCACTGAAATAACTTTGCAGAGGGTACACAACAATTTCTGTGCTCATACCACTCAGCTGTGCTCATTACTGTGAAAAAAATATATTTATGTTCACAACATAAAAATTGTGAACAAAACAAATAGATATATTTCCCAATATATTATTATGAAAAAAGTTTTTTGAGTTAGAGAACAGGTATTTTAGAGTTAGAGAACTAAGATTATTTTAGAGAACGAAGATTATTCAAAGAACCCATGGGGATTAAAAAATGTACTCTGCAAATATACAGGGGTAGAAAAGCCTTTGTTACCCCCTTTTTTTTGAACTGTTTTCAGAGGACACACGTAACAGATAAACCAGAACAATTCTCACGACTTCAGGGGATTCAGCACAATTAAAGGGCACAGAGGCAGCACAGTACAGCTGAGAGGGAGCTGAAGAGGCAGCAGCACCTCTGCAGATCCTCTTCAGAAATTCAATATCCAGGAAATCCAGAGGTGGGAAAGCAGCACACACTGAGGGGATTACTCAGAACCTCTGTCCTCTTCTGCTCCCACTCAGTGCCCGAACTGTGCTCTGAGAAAACACAAATATCTCAGTGCCCATCAGCTCAAACTGTGCTCTGAGAAAACACAAATATCTCAGTGCCCATCAGCCCCAAATCTGAGAAAACACAAATGTCTCAGTGCCCATCAGCCCCAAATCTGCTCTCAGAAAACACAAATGTCTCAGTGCCCATCATCCCAAATCTGCTCTCAGAAAACACAAATATCTCAGTGCCCATCAGCTCAAACTGTGCTCTGAGAAAACACAAATATCTCAGTGCCCATCAGCCTCAGCTCTGCTCTCAGAAAACACGAATGTCTCAGTGCCCATCAGTCCCAGACACCCGGGCTGGCCCTGCAGTGGCACACACAGCTGGCCCCACCTGTTTAATTGTTCTAGCTGTAATTAGGGGCACTCTGCAGCACTGCTGTGCCCCAGGGGCTGCCCCAGTGCCGAACTGGTCTGACTGGGAGCTGGCTCCCCCTGGCACCTTTTGGTCCAGCATCATCCTGGGCACAGCAGCAGCTCAGGAGTTGGGTTTTATTTTATTTTTCCTGCTGGGAAGGGGTCGAAGGTGAGGTGATTATTGAATCAAAGGGGTCTTTGGCAGCACCTCACCGGAGTTCCCACCTTGCAAATGCTGATGGGAGATAAAAGGGAGGGAGAAAAGAGCGATTGTAGAACAAGAAGGGATGAGTGACACACAAAGCGTCTCCTGACAAATGGGAGCAGCCTAAAGATAAGGGAAACTAATAGATATGCTTATTATGCAGAGCCTCAGTTTTATGTGTTTTATCTCTGCTTTGTGGTTTTACCAGTCAGACATAAAAATGCAGTTTACGTGAAACTATTTCATTTCTTATTTCACTTCTTCTGATAAATTCTGGGGAAGCGTTTTAGATGAATGCAAATGGATGACTTAAAGTACAAAGGATCAGATTTAACTGACAACGGGACTCTAATAACTCATGCGTGCCTTTTACAGCTGGCTGCCGAACCTGGCAGCTCCCAAACCTGAGATTAAATTAAGAAATTAAGATGCAGATTTAGCACGAGATGCTCGAACTTGACAGGAATGAGAACTGGGACGGAGCTTACTCAGCTCTGGGGTGACACAGCTGAGGCCTGGAGGAGCTCCAGGAACCCGGAGAGGGCATTTGGCAGGGCTGGAGGGGCAGGGCACAGAGGGCAGGGCTGGAGGGGACATTGGCAATTGGGAATTGTTCCCTGGCAGGGTGGGCAGGGCTGGGATGGAATTCCCAGAGCAGCTGGGGCTGCCCCTGCATCCTGGCAGTGCCAGGGCCAGGCTGGATGGCACTTGGAGCACCCGGGACAGTGGAGGTGTCCTGCCAGGGCAGGGTGGCACTGATGGGATTTTAGATCCCTTCCCATGACTGGAAGTGCTGCCAGAGGAATCCAGGCTGCCTAGAACCGATCTGGAGCTGCTCTCCCAGGACCATCCCCTGGGGGGTTTGAAGCCACACCACTAGGACAGGAGGACAAACCCTCCTGAAGGGTCACCCTGCCTCAGATCTCCTCTCTCTCAAGCAGACTCTGACTTTTGGCAGATTTTCATTTCACACACTGCATTGCAAATGCAGCGACTTTGAAGCAGGCACTGGAGAAAACCCAACCCCGAGGACATCATTCACATGCAAAAGCACCTAGATTTTATCACTGCTTTTACATAAGTGATTTCCATTTGAATTTTAGATTTTTATGTTTTCCGGATTCTTGCTTTATTCACGCAAATCACAAAAATCATCTTCAAGACCTTGAGAGAAAATTGGATTGGTCTGGAATACACACATCTAATAAGGGGCAATTTTTATAGAACAAAATACATCCATGGCTAATTCTGCATGAACTGTGATTTCTCTGGGAAGCACTGCAGGATCAGGCCTCTGTCTCTGGCAGCCCTGGAGAGATTTCCAGCTGCTGGTCAGAAGAACTGAACTTACAGTCTCTAGAACAACTCAGAAGAACTGAACTTACAGTCTCTAGAACAACTCAACTCAGAGCTGCAGAGCTTTCAAAAGTCCCTTTAGAGTCCGAAACCCTTTTTGCAGGCTAAAGCTTTGCCTTCAGACAAATCAAGAGCAACTGCTCCAATTCTCTAATTCAGCTTTCTAATTATGTACTGAATTGTGTTATGTTGCAATATGGAAATAAAGTGGTAACTTGAGATATTTTTGGACTCGTGCTATTACAAGCCAATTTATCTCACTTCTATATGGGAATTAAAACAAATGTTCTTACAGATGAAGTAGACGGTTTATAAATCTCCCAGAAGGCTTTTCCAGGTCATCTGAAGATTCTATCCCATCCTCTACATTATGTTGTGCAAATCTAAGAATGAGAAACACTTTTTAATAAAAATTAAAATTAAAATCAGCTTCCCCTGTGCTACGTGTTTGCGAAACCGTGGGAGGTGAAGGGACCTGAATGCAAATGTGGCATTTTGGTGTGCCAGGGGTGAGAGAGGGCACTGCCCCTGCTGCAGGAGCTCTGGGCCCTCCCTGGGAGCCCCAAACCCACCTGGTATAAACCTCTGCATGCAGGCAGAATATTCCCAAATGTGGTTCAGGCCCTGCTGCTCCAGCTAAGCCAGCAGTCAGCTTCTAACCTCCCATGTGAAAAATCAAAAGGGGGAGAGCAGTCAGCACAACAAACCCTTCTGCTAAGAGAGCCATTTGCCCTGTAAAAAACAGGAGAGCTGTCCCAGGGAATCAGTGAACAAAATCTGTGAGCTATCCAAGAATGAAAATGTGGTGGGCAGCACAAAGGCCATTTACTGACCCGTAAGCTGAGTTTTGGGGGGTTGTCACCACGCGGGTTTAACACCCAGCGCCCAGCATGCAGCACCCAGCACGCAGCACCCAGCTGTCCCCCTGCTGCACAGAGAGCTGCCCAGTGTCCTGGGGCATCCTCAGGGGCAGCCGTGGTGCCCAGGAGCTGCCTGGGCTCACCTGGGAGCTGCTCAGCACGGAGAGCACAGGGCTCAGGCCAGCAGAGGACTGGAGGTGCTTGGAGCTGCTGCCACCCTGCAGTTCCCTGTCCTTGGACAGAAGCTGGCATGTGCAGAAGTGACCCTGCGAGGGCAGGGGGGTTTGCAGCGAGCTCCGTGCACCCCAGCCTGGTCAGGAGCAGCTCTGGGTGCCCCTCCTGCTGCTCTGTGCACCCCAGCCTGGGCAGGAGCAGCTCTGGGTGCCCCTCCTGCTCTGTGCACCCCAGCCTGGGCAGGAGCAGCTCTGGGTGCCCCTCCTGCTTTGTGCACCCCAGCCTGGCTGGATTTCAGGCACAGCCAGAGGGAAGAGCTCCAGAAATCCCATTATCAGTCCTCAGAACTGTCTCACATCTCTTGCTTTGCATTCCTGTTTGTGATCATGGCTCTAAAATAAGTTACACATCACTAAAAGAGACAAAGTGCAGCACGAGTAATGTACATCCTCCACTTCTATTATTAAAATAATGGCTTTTCCCTCTCTCACGGGCTGAGCACTTGGCTT